CCAGCTATGCTCGGCAAGGAACTTGATCACAAGCACCAAACCGGTGATGACTTACCCGGAGTCGATGATCGACTTAACATCTTACTATGCCCAGGGGCTGTTAGGGGAATGGCATGCAATCTCCCCTCGCTCTGTGAGGGGAATACTTCTCGAGCCGGAGAACGTGTCTCCCCTGTTCTCGAATCTGAAAATAGCCTCCCCGGAAAATCCTTTCCGGCTAGCTCCGGCGCACGTGCCGTCGCTATAGGACATCGGTCTGGTCTGTAAGCCACTAGAAATTGTTCTGAAGTGGTGGATGAAGAAAATGGACAAGGAGTACTCTCTCTTGATTATTCCGTGGGAGTTACAATTCTTGCTAGAACAAGTGCCCGTACTTCCGAGCGTAAGAAAAGCAATGTCGATTACAGAAGAATGGCTAGTGCTACAGTCGGTATCAGGAACAAACAACGTGAACCTGATGCATCTAGTTCAAGAGGCTCAACAACTCCATCTATCAGTCGGATGGGGAAAGGTGAAAGGAGGAGACACGGAAATGTCGGGAATCAAGATAAAGAAGAACACAACCTCGATGTATAGCATTTATCAAGGGAAATATGTCAAAATCGACAACAAAGTAGCTTATGCAACAAGAAAGGAGCTATACAACCTGCCGATCATGTCACCGGGAATGAATATTCTCCTTTGGAATGCTAGAGGGATAGCTCGGGATGGTTTCAAGAGGAACATCCGGCAACTAATCCTCAATAACAAACCTGATATCATAACCCTAACCAAGACCAAAGTCTCTAAAATAAGCTGCGAGGAGCTCCTCTGCATTTTGCGTTTTAACTCATATGAAGTGGTGGATCCTGTCGGCTACTCGGGGGGAATTCTACTTCTCTAGAACTCGGGCGGCCACAACATCTCAATTGTCTCGAAAGAACCTCGCGCTATACACACTGTAGTACAGGTAAATCCCACTCATTCTTTTTTCCTTACTGCCCTTTATGCATCTATTTCTTACAATGGTAGAATTGAAATGTGGGATGCTTTAAAAAATTTGAGCGCTCTACTTTGCCTTGGCTTGTTTGTGGTGACTTCAATGAAATATGTTTTGCTCATGAAAAGTGGGGAGGGGGGGGAATGCTAATCCTATCCATCAAATGAGATCTTTCAATGATACAATTAATGCCTGTCACTTAGTGGACTTAGGATATGTGGGTCATAAATATACTTGGTTCAATAAACAAAAGAAAAACCCAATTCTTGAAAGATTAGACAGATTCTTAGCAACTACTGACTGGATTCATTTATTCCCCAATAATATAGTCAGAAACCTGCCAAAAATGTCCTCAGATCATAACCCCCTCCTCTTACAACTTGAGAAACAAATTTCATTCCCTAGTGACACACCTTTTAAGTTTGAGCCTATGTGGACCTCTGACCTGGATTTCATGCCTTATGTCCAAAGTAAATAGAATTCCTATCATTCTAGCTTGCCTTAGAAAATGACCTTACTTGCCTCTGATCTCAAATCATGGGCAGCAGCCTATTTCTCAAACCAGAAAATTAACAAAAAAAAGGATCTTAGCCAGAATAAATGGGGTACAACTAGCCTTTCAAAGAAATCCCTCAAACACTTTCCTTTTTGAACTTGAAATCCATTTGCAACACCAGCTGAATCTTATCCTTGACCAGGAAGAGCTTTTCTGGGCTACCAGAGCAAGAACTGAGTGGCTGCTACATGGTGATAGAAACACTAGGTTTTTCCACTCTTCTACAATCCTGAGAGGCAAAAGAAATAAGATCCTTATTCTGAAAAATAGTGTGGGTGAGTGGATTGAAGATCCAAGCCAAATCCAAGCCCACATTCTCCAACACTTCTCCCTTCTCTTCACCTCTAAAGGTACATCTGATCTCCCTCCCTGTTACTCTTCAGAACAATTTGATTGCTCTTCCACCCCTTCTCCCTCTGAGATAAAGGAAGCTCTCTTCTCCATTGGCCATCTCAAAGCTCCAGGTATAGATGGTTTTCATGCCATATTTTTCCAATCTTCCTGGCATCTCATTCACCAGGATTGCCAATCTTTTGTCCAACAGATCTTTACCTCAAAGAAGGTCCCTGTAGAGAGCAATACAACTGTGATTTGTCTAGTTCCTAAGGTACTATCCCCCTCTCTCATAACCAGCTTCAGACCTATTATCTTGGTTAACACTTCCTATAAGATTATCGCCAAAATCCTAGTCAATAGGATAAGACCCCATCTCTAATCCATCATATCTCCTAACCAGAATAGTTTCTTGAGAGGGAGGGGAACTGAGGTAAATTACATCATAGCCTTAAAAATTCTTCACTCAATGAAAAAGAAAAGAGGATCTAGGGGTTTGTTTGCTCTAAAGCTTGATCTTGAGAAAGCTTATGATAGATTAGAGTGGCCTTTCATAGAGCATTGCCTAAATTTCTTCAAATTCTCAAAGGACACTACTTCTCTTATTATGTCTTGCATTTCTTCTGTCACTTCCCAAATTCTCATAAATGGCAAGCTTTCTCAACCTTTCACACCCTCTAGAGGAATAAGGCAAGGGGACCCCCTATCACCTTATATTTTTAATCATTTGTCTTGAATACCTTTCCAGAATGATCCATGAGGAATGCATTCACAAAAGATGGAAACCATTTAGATTTAGGGGGGGGGGGGAAACTGACATCTCACATCTCCTTTTTGCTGATGATGTGCTACTCTTTCGAGTAGCTGAAAAAAAGACTCTAAACTCCCTATCAAAAACCCTTGAGCAATTCTGTTCTTTCTCTGGCCAAAAAATAAATGAGGAAAAGAATCAATTGTTTTTTTCAAAAAACACCCCCCCTCCAAATCATTGATGATTTTGAACAAACACTTAGTGTCAGCAAATCAAATGACCTGGGAATATATTTGGGTTTCCATTGACTGAAAAAAAGCCAAATAGAAGACACTTGTCCTCCCTAATTGATAAGATGGGGAAAAAGCTTTCCAGTTGGAAAACAAAAACCCTTTCTAAAGCTTGGAGAATGACTTTGCTCCAATCAACCATGCTGTATATCCCTAGATACTTCATGTCTTGTATCAAGTTGCCCATTTTCATCTTGAACAAACTTGACTCCATTTGCCTTAACTTCTTCTTTGGGGGATCCTATGAGACAAGAAAAATACCATGGATTTCTAGGAGAAACTTGTGTACTGAAAAGAGCAAGGGTGGACTGGGTTTTCTACAAAACTTTGAAGCAAACCTTATTGGCTTAGCCAGACTATGATGGATGGTGGAAAATAGATCAAATTGGGCTGGTAAACTGCTTTATGAGAAGTATATTATGAATAAAGAAAGACCTACTCCTTTTAATAAAGGCTCCCACATTTGGATGGCTGTAGGTAAGGAATGGGAGCTCTTCTAACATAGTTTACAATAGGAAGCAGGGACAGGGAATATGATAGATTTCTAGCATGACAGATGGATTCAGGCAGAATCTATAAGAAGCAAATTGGTGGGGCCAATTCCACACTCCGCTGTATCCCTTTCTATAAATTCCCTGCCAATTCATTCAAAACCAGATACAGAGAATATCATAGGATTCCAAATCCTTGAAAATATCTTTGATAGGATTGATTGCATCACACTAAATGATAATGATGATTACAACTTCACTAGCTACCTTGACAAAAAGAGGCAAATTTGACAGCAGCAAGGCTAGAGAATGTTTACTGCAGCAACAGAATCTTTCTGTAGTTACTAGTAAAAACAACTGGAATTGGAATAGCATATGGACCTGTCCTACTTTTCCAAAAATAAGAATTTTTCTTTGGCAATTAGTGTGTGACAGACTCCCAACTTCTGAAAATCTGTTTTCAAGAAAAGTAAAACCTTCAAAAAACTGTATTTTCTGCCCTTTGAAAACTGAAAACTCAGAATATCTCTTCCTTCTTTGCTCTAGAGCTACTGAATTCTGGGATCAAAATGGATGTGCCACCAAAATTTCAGAAAACAAACCTTGAATCAACCTCTCAATGGGTTCTTAGAAACCTAAAGTCAAAAAACAAAAATCCCATCACAACCTTCCTTAGAACACCATCTTCAGCTTCTTCCTTTGGCATATTTGGAAAAGAAGAAATGCTTGGCTATTCTCAAAACAAAATATCCCCTCACAAAAATCATCAACCCATTGCCTTTGGTCTGCTGCAGAGTGGTTTTTCTCCCAAAACCACTCTAGCAGAACAGAGATCATTCCTCCAGCATGGGTTCCTCCTCCTCGCTCCTTCAAAAAAATCAATATAGATTCCTCTTTTATTCACCATACAAAGGAGACAGGCTGTGCAGGTGTTTGCAGATATGATTGTGGAAATTGGATTGAAGGCTTCCAGTGGAGAGGTTTTTCTACATCCCCAAAAGAGGCAGAGATTAAAGCCCTATCTATTGCTTTAACCTGGATCCAGAATCAAGATTGGAACTACTGCCAGATTAAAACTGATTGTAAAACTATGGTCCAAGACATGAATGGAACTAATACAAATTATCTAACTCCCAAACAAATTGTTTGCAGGAAGCAGCTCCAGCAACTAACTGAAGTGCAGCTATTCTATGGAGAAAGGGGGAAGAATCGAGTTGTAGACATCATGGCCAAAGAAGCAAGGAAGACTCTTAGTGTTTTGAATCAAGTGTGCTGGTTGCAATATGCACCAGGTTTCTGTAATGCCTTATTAGCTTTTGACTCTGCTAATTTAACTATGGCTACTAACAATCATGATGTAACTTTTGGGCATTCCTGGGAGATGCCACCAAACACTAGTACTGTTTAATTAATTACCCCTTTTCTTTTTTTTTTTTTAAAAAAAGGGGGAGTGTATAACCATCACAAGTTAAAATTGAAATCTAATATGTTTGCATCCATGATAGTTCTATTTTGAAGACATCCGATTTGATCTAATTTTAAAAAGAAATTACAGGGAAAAACTTTCAATAATTTATTGGAATAAACACAACATACTAGCTTAAAGTTTATGTAAGATAATGGGGACACCATGTTGGGGTTGAAGGGCTATAAAAGTTGTAGGAGCATGGGTGTATGATGGTGAGATTTCAAAAGAGAAGCATTGCAAAATCATAGACAATGCCATTTTAGCCTCAATCAGTGCAAAACTTTGACCAATACAAATCCGAGGTCCCCAACCAAAAGGGAAGTACGAATTGATTCCCTTAGTTGCCTTTGAAATCCCTTCTGAAAATCTTTCTGGTTTGAATTCTTTGACATCTTTACCCCAAACTTCGGGATCCAAATGAGCATGGAGTATTGAAAAAGAAACTGCCACCCCGGGTGGTATAACCAAATCACCTAATCTTGTCTCACAACCGTACACCTTTCTTGAAGTAGCAACTATAGACGGATACAACCTTAGCACCTCATACAATATCATTGTCACCTAATAAGAACAATTACAAACAAATTGAGTAACAAGTACGTAATCTATGTAAATACATACTTGTAAGATTTAAGACTTGAACAATTAAAGTGTGAAAATATATAATAGGCTTACTATCTTTAAACGACTATTTAAGCCATCATAGTCAGGGTGGTTCATGCCAAACGTAGCAAGAACCTCTTCACGAGCTCGTGTTTGCCATTCTTGGTGCTTTCCTAACAAAGCAATAGTCCATGCTAGCAACACTGAGGTAGTCTCTTGGCCAGCTAAGAAGAATAACTTGCACTCGTCGATCACCTCTTCGAAGCTCATTGCAAGATCAAGGCGTTTCTTACTACTACTTTCACTCTCACTCTCACTCAATTGTTTAGCCTCTTTAGAATTTGAATCCAAGAGTATCCCCAACAAGTCATCTTTGGCCGGTTCTCCGGCTTCCATTGTTTTCTTTCTTGTGTTGATTACCGTCTTCAATAGAATTTTTATTTCGGCATTCATTTCATCCATCCTCTTATTGCCTTTTGTTGGCAAATATCTAGTGAACGCATATACATACATGATCAATTATTAATATCTAAGTATAATTTATAGTCTCTAATTTTGTTTAATATAAGGTTTAATTTTATCATAATATTACAAGTTTCAACCCTTGAAAGGTAAATAGAAATTGAGAATAAATAATGTAACTTACTTCCATCCTGGGATATAAGCATATTTGATAAGACGAATAATAAGTTCCTTTTGCTTTGTGAGAAGTTCAAATATCCTTTTGCCGTCCTCAAAGCTTCTACCAAACGCAGCTCGGGATATGGCGTTTGCAGTTAATTTCGTAAAGTGCGGCCAAACATCTATTTCTGAAGAACCTGTTTTAAAAACTATCTTCTCCCAGTTGTTTATTGTTTCAATGATACTAGTTTCAAATGCTGGGAGCATAGGCTGCACGAGTAGAGTGAAGTAAATTGGAATAAAACCTAGCTCAAATGTTATATATGTACAATAGTTTCAATATATCGCGTATAGTTTAGACTTATAATCACCCTACATATGTAATATACAAAGTATGTACTTCGTAATAAATACATGTCAGAACATGACTAGATTTAGCAAAACTAACCTCAATTTTGATGAACTAACTTTAATTGAAGTGGTAAAACAAACATCTTTTATTTTCATATTGGTGATTACTTATTTTAACTCGATTCCTTTTTCCTCTAAAAACCTATTTCAGTATCTTAGATAGACGCCTCAAAAACAATAAAACCTCCTCTCTTACAAATTTTCACTCGAATAAATTTTTGTTTTTGTAAAAAGAAAGAGGGCATTAATTAATAATCAGAGAATGTGCAAAGTTTGTTTGGCTTCCCATAGGATAGCCCAATATTACATCCCTGGATTTTCATCCCTAGAAATATTACTAAAGTCATAGTCTAAAGCATTAATACATATACTAGGAGGAACATGTATAATACAAATCTGATTCAAAAAATTTAAAGTTCCTCTTGCATCTTTTACTCGAATAATTGAACATTAACAAAAAAAAACAAAAAAACAAAAAAAAATAACAAAAAAATAAGCACTTGATATTGAGACTAAGGGAGTAATACCTTTAGCTTATCGAGATGAAATGCAGGGGTGAGAATTTTCCTGTGTTTAGCCCATTGATGGCCTTCATAATGTACAAGTCCAGGCGAAAATGTTTGAATAAGTGGATTTAATTTTGGTTTTCGAAATTCGTTCATCCTATTGAATCCATCCTTTATTTGCTCAGGCTGTGTAACAAGTATTGTTGGCACAGGCCCCATCCAACTGAAACAATTTGAACCTGCATTTATGCATTGTTGATCAATTAGGTCTCTTGTGCATGTTCCAATTTCATTCAACTATACATATTTGGATCGTAATATATAATACAAGACATTCAATATAATTTTTCAAATACAAACAGCTCAAATACGACATACATAATGAAAATTTTATATTAGTCATTTGAAATATGACAAATATAATATTTTGATGATTATATAGTTTATAATTGACATATTTTTTTCCTAGTAATTAATTATATTACTTTATTATTGGTAAAAAAATGGTACTATCAACAATAATTTTATTATCAAATTTTTAGTTTCATTTATATTATTTTTATTCTTATTTTATAGTTTCTCGAAAAATATTTATTATATGTTGGATTAAAAACTTACAAAATTATATTTGCACTGTAGATATTAATTATAAGGATAATTGTTGCCATTTTATAAAGTGAATAATGAACCAATCATATTGTATATCATTAATTAAAATAATATAGTAGACATATTTCAAATGACCGCTGTAAAAGTACATAAAATAATACCAGATTTGGTAAGAAGTCGATGGAGTAAGGGTTGAATACGATGGTAATAATCATGAGTAAAACGAATGGGTTTCACCATAGCTTCACTACGCAATTGGGAGGCTTCCTTCATGTCTCCAATCAAAAATCGATACGAGTTTCCAACAAGACCTTGTTGTCGAAGCGATTTCTCTAAACCTTTGGGCGTAAACCAAACAAAGTTTATTAAATTTAACAGCCATCTCAATACCACAATGCACAACAAAACACAAAGTGCATTCACAATCAAACTTTGGCTCTCGAAAATGATCATCATTTGATCTTTAGTTTTTTATTTGGTGTACTCAAACTATGAAAATAGACATGACTTATTATATACTTGTACTTGGTTACATATCCTTCATCCAGACTCGAGGAACACCAATACATTGGACCCTTCGGTAAGAGCCACGATTGAAGAGTATGAAGACGCTCATTTCTTGTGGACAACCTGAAAAATCGCTTCTGTGTGGTTAGTGGCACTCGAATGTGTCAATTGAAGTTGTCCTTGGGTGAATGCAAGCAAGGTTAGCCTCGAACAACAGATAGCATGGCAGGGTTAGCCCAATTAAAGAGTGGGTGAACGAGTAGATGGACTTTATTATTTCAGTGGTGTTCCTGAGGTAAAGGCTTTGAAGATAGATGGTGTTCAATCGACGGAGTTGTGGCATCAACGAATGGGACACCCTATGTATAAAGTATTGCAACATCTTCTAGTTGTGAGTAGTTCTAGTAGAACTCTTAAAAATAAATCTTGTGATGTATGCCCTACGACTTATTGGCTAAACAACATATGAGTAGTTTTCCCATTTGCAAAAATAAAGTAAGTAGTTTGTTTGAACTTATTCATGTAGACTTGTGCGAGGGGGACCTTACAAGACACCGCGGACTTGTTGTTTTCACTATTTCTTAACCATAGTTGATGATTTCTCAATAGTAGTGTGGACGTATTTAATATGAAATAAAACTGAAGTTGAATTCATGTTTCTTAATTTTATTATTGCTTTGGTGAAACGTCAATTTGGTCATGAGTTAGATTAAAGTGGGTCGTAGTGATGAATGGAACGGAATTTAATTCTTTGAATTTTTTTTTATTTTATTTTATTATGGGATCATATTTGAGATTTCATTTGTGAGAACCCCTCAGCAAAATAATGGTCGTGTTGAGAAAAATCATCAACATATACTTAATGTGGCTGATGCTTTGAGGTTTCAAGCAAACTTACCCCATAATTTTTGGGGGAATGTGTCCAAGCGGCTTGTCACTTGATTAGTTAAACTCCCTCTAGATTGTTAGAGTTCAAGACTCCTTTTGAAATTTTAATTGGCAAGCAATCGTCGTATGAGTATATTAGAGTCTTTGGATGTTTGTGCTACGCTCATAATCAACGATCTAAGGGTGACAAGTTTTCTAGTAGAAGTCGAAAGTGTGTATTTTTGGGTTATCCTTTTGGAAAAAAGGTTGGAAAGTCTTTGACTTGGAGACTAAAGAAATTTTAATTTCGCGTGATGTGCAATTTTATGAAGATCAATTTCCATATAACACTCATAAGGTTGGAGAAATTCAGAGGTCTACACATGAGCATCCTTCGGAAGTTTTTCATGATGATGAATGGGGTATTGAATTGCAATATTGGGGTGATGGTAGTGAAGAAGCAGCCCCGCGGCAGGCAGAGCGGTCCACGGCAGCCAAGCCACAACCGGGTTTGTTGGGTTTTCCAGCGACACCCCGTGGGAACTGGTGCGGAGGCATGTGAGACGCCAAGCAGGATTTCCACAGAGCGCTGGTCGCCTAACACCAGCCCCAAGCAGCAGATAGCAGGGCAAGGGAGCCTCGAACAGCAGATAGCATGGCAGGGTTAGCCCACTTCGAGTGATCTTGAGGTGCTAGAAGAAGCTCCGATCAGCGACTCTATGGGTAAAGGCAAGTGGCAAAAATTTCCCTCTGTTAAATTTCGTGACTATGTGACGCACACCATCCGGAATAATAAATGTCCATCTCTTTCTCATCGTTCATCCATGTTGTCTTTCTCAGGTACAGTTTACCCAATAACACGTTTTGTTGATTCTCATTGATTTTTCATGAAATATAGAAAATATATTGCAGCAATTACAAGTAGCAACAAACCGAAAAATCTAAAGAAGCAATGAAGAATGAGGGATGGAGAAAGGCGATGGCCGAAGAAATAAGGTGCTTGAAGAACAAGGCGCATGGGTGCTAGAATATTGACCACCTAGTAAAAAGGAAATACGGAGCAAATGGGTATACAAAGAAAAGTATGATTAGCATGGAAATCTTCATTGATTGAAGGCTAGACTAGTCATATTCGACCATCATTAGATTGAAGGTCTAGACTACAATGAAACATTTTCTTTGGTGGAAAAAAAGGTGACAGTTGAAACTTTCTTAGCAGTGGCAACATTGAAGAATTGAGAATGAAGTTCATCAAATGGAAGTCCATAATATTCAAAAGTACTAAAAACACATATTCGCAACGCTTTCCTTTCGACGCTTAGGGAGAGCCGTCAGATCAAATTAGAACTGTCCCGTTTTGACGACGCTTTTTATTGTCAAAAATAATATTTCGTCAATTTTCTGTGTCAAAAAATAAAAAACTGTACGTGATATCTATAGTATCCGTCACGCGAGCAGTTTTTTGGGAATTAAAAATATCACCCCGCCTTTATTTACTCGCTGCTGTATCTTTCAACCTCAAACCCCTAAATTGGCGAAAACGGTTCATCTTCTATTCTCAGCAAGATATTAATCTATCTCATTTCGTGAGTGATTGAAATTTTTTCACTCAAAGATTCAAATCCTTCTCGTATTTTAAATTTCTTTCTTCTTAATTTTTTAATTTATTTCTAAGGTTTCTCTTAGATCTTGTTGTTTAAGTGCATGATTTGTGCTTAATTTAAATGTCTTGGATGTGTAATCTCTATTTCCTTTCGTTCTATATTCCTCTAATGTTCTTTCTTTTATTTTTTGCATGATTTATTTTCTCCTACAAATTGAAAGTTGTCTCCATTCGAATTAATGAGCATTTATGGTTTAATTTTGAATCTAGGTTAATTTACGGTTTAAAGAAATAGCATAGCCATATGTTTTGTGTGAATTTTAAAGAATTTTCGATTCAATCAATTGAATTAGAAAATTTGAGAAGTAAATTTCTAAAGAGAAATTGTGAAGCAGTAAGAAATGAAGCAAAAACAACAAAACTGGAATACTTAGACAATAAACATTACTTGATATTAAAATGACAGCTTCATGCATGTTCCTTTTGAATGTATTTTAATTGTGGTTTGATTGATTTTTTTTTTTTGTTAATTTTTTAATTAGTTTTAATTAAATTCAATTCATCTTTTGTTAGTTGTTGCTCTTACCTAGCAAATTGTGTCATATACGGGTCTAAGCCACAACTGCAACTAAGAATGAAATAGAATCCACTTCATAAGTCCAAGTAAGTTTATCCCAAAATCATATTGGAAATGTGCATGGTACACCCACTCAAAATACACGGATTATGGAAATGCGGAAAAAAAATTATTGTGTACAATTATAAATTACACGAACAAAAAAATTCAAAATGATACCCTTCTAGATTTAAGAGATTCTTTGGTTGTTTATACTCCTTGATTTATAGAATTAATTTTTTTTAAGTTGAACGCTAGACGTCGCCCTCAAATCTCCAGTTAACGCCCGAAAAATAACAATTACATACTTATCCTTATTGTAAAAATAATTAATTTTAGGAAAATTTTTAATTACCACCCAAAAATGTAACCATTTTCGAAATAACCACCCATATAATTTTTTATTTAAATTACCACCCCTTAAATTAAATAAATGAACATATTACCACGTATTTCAAAAATCCGGTGGATTTTCCGTCTGTGGGCCCCACCTAACGCTCAATTTGACTGATTTTCCCCTGATTTTTCTCTTTAAAAACGCTCTTCTAACTTCAATTCACATTTTTCTATTTAAAATTTGGTATAATTTGGTGAAGAAAATGTGACTTAAAGTATAGAGAACGTTTTTAAAGAGAAAATCGGGGTAAAAATCAGTGAAAAGATTAAAAATAAGTGTTAGGTGAGACCTACAGACAGAAAATCCATCGGTTTTTTAAAATGAGTGGTAATTTGAGCATTTATTTAATTTAAGGGGTGGTAATTTAAAATAAAAAATTAAACGGATAGTTAGTTCGAAAATGGTTACATTTTTTGTGGTAATTTAAAAATTAGGAAATTTTAGAAAAAAACACCTGAAAAAAGACAAAAATTTGTTTTTAACACCACAGAATCTCAAAGTTTTATTATAACACCACTTTAAAAAAATTAAATTTTGGTTTCACCACTTAAATGGTTAAGACGTTAGAGAGACTGTTAGTGGGCCCCACTGTAACGGTAATTTTTTCAAATTTTTCTATATAGTTGCGATATCCTACAAACGCATTTAATTGATGATATGTGTACACAAAATTAGGGCTCAAATTTTGCGAATCAACAATGAAATTGGTAATTTTGTCTGCTATAAGCATCATTCTTCACGGAAGCAAGAATTGACCTAAGGTAATTGCGTCAATATGACTGCTGAAAACCCTAATTTGCTGAAGAATTGTTAGTTGGTATGAAAATCAGTCCATGTTGTTAAATTAATTGCATAATTCAGTTATGTTGTGTAAGTAATCATGTAATTCATACTTATTTCATCAGAAAAGTGTGTTAATTGTTTTCATATTTGGGGAAAAATGAATTTAGGGTTCATCGAAAAATCGAATTAGGGGTTTTGGTTTTTAGGATTATTGATTGTTTGATTTCCTTGGTGCAGTTGTTTGTTTCTTCATTCTTTGAATGGTTTTTTGTTATTGTGGATTGCACATTGATGCAAATGTCTGTCATAAGTTCCTCTCCTTCAAGAGAGAAGAAGTGCAAGTGTGGAGTACCCTTTGCGAGGCTCACGAGTTGGACAAGGGAGAACCTAGGAAGGAAGTTTAGAACATGCAAGTTTTATGATCCTGTAACTGAGAGCAGGGGCTGCAAAGCTTTTGAATGGGTTGATGAAACCGATGGGACATCCTGGCAAACAGAGGTCATCAACAACTTATTGTTGGACAAGAAGCTGTTGAAGGGAGTAATTACTGACTACAAGAGGGAAGTTGATGACCTTGGTGGACAGATGAGGTGTCTTCTCAATGAAGTGGACAACCTTAAGATGAAATGTAAGGCATTAACTCAGATAGGAAGAAGATGAACAGAGAGATGAATGGAAGATCA